AAAGTACAGAGTAACATGTACAATGGTAAGTCTAGACATATACGTCGTAGACACAATACCATAAGACAACTACTCTCAACTGGAGTTATCACTATTGACTATGTAGAGTCAAAAGATAACATTGCGGATCCGCTAACCAAAGGGTTAAACAAAGAGTTAGTTGGAAAATCATCGAAAGGAATGGGACTTAAGTCCTTAAATGAATAAGTCATTACAAAGGAAACCTGTCACGCGATTTATGCAACGTGATTTTATACTGCAAGTGTACAGTGTCAAGTTTTGTAATATAGTAATAGAGTAAAGAGTGTCGAACCCACAGGAATTGTAATTTAAATTCACTAAGGACTATATTTGTACAATTTCTACTTTATTTAGACACATGTATGATTAAACGGATTTAATGTTTTATGAGTGAATAAATTAAACTAATCTAACGTGAATTGGATGCGACAAAATTGGGGAATACAAATTATCAAATGAGAAGGCCTAGGGATTGACTTCACCTAACTTTCAATTATGATTTAACGATTTCCAATAATTTCATTTAATTTTTCCATATTTAAAAGCAAGAATCCTAATGTATTCCTCTCCCCTCTCTCGAGTGCCGGCTAGAAAATAATTCTATATTCCAATTCCAATATCTCTATTCCGAATTGAAAATCAAGAATTTATAAATGTCCCGATTCTTTTATGGAGTAAGCTTCACAGATTTTACACTTTCTCTCGAAACTCATAAAACCTATGTTGTGTCAATCTTATGATCACGCCTAAATTTCCCTCTCTCGAGTGCCGAAATTGACTAGCATCTATTCATTCAATTATTGATTAAGTAATTGAAAGCATTAAAACCATGACACAATTAAATATATGTGGAAAAATCAAAGAAATAATTATAAAATCATCAAACCATACTCAATTCGGCTACATCAAACCTTTAGATAATTTTTTTAGTTCATGATATAATAAATGAAAATCATACAAATTATAATAAACAACATAAAGAAAATGATAGAAAAAACTAATCTTTTGTGTAGATCTTCAATCATTTTCCCTTGGTGTTATTCTTCCTTCCTTTTGATGTCTTCAGTTTTTGCCTCCTTCAAATTGTGTGGTTGAATTCTTCAATCTAACCCCCTTCCATCCCTCTTGAAATTAGGGTTTTTAAATGGTATTTATAGTATGTTGGGGTTATTGGACGAATTATGGTTGAGTTCGGCCAAGAAATGATTCCAAAAATATAAAATCCCGTTTTTCCGCACAAGCAGCGCCACGACGCCGCGTTCACTATTTTTTCAGCATCTTGGGCGTCACGGCGCCCACTTCTGGTGGAAAAGGCAGTTTTGGTCTCCTTCAGTATTTTGCCATAACTTCTTCATCCGATATCTGATTGAAGTAATTCAAGATGCGTTGGAAAGGTAACTCAAAGAGCTATAACTTTTCTTCAAACATCATTATCCAATTCAATCGTTTTCTATGTCAGAAATAGGTCTAAATATGAGGCTGAAATTCTGGATCATAACTTTTCGATTGGAGATTGATTTGTGATCACATTTTGCCTAAATTTGATCCCTTTGACATCTTTCCTCATCCAATTGACTCCTAACACTCTCGGATCTTCATGGCAAGGTTCGATACAAGTTTGGATTATTTATATTTTAATCCCCGAACTTTGGATCTTTTACAATTTGGCCCATTCTCTCCAATTTTGTCAACTTTTGCTTAATTCCTCCAATTTCACCAATCTACATCACAACATCAAAATACACATTAAAACGTTCTAAAACGCTCTCAAGAGTAGCAAAATAACAAATTAGGTGGCATAAATATCATGAGTGTAGAGCACTCATCAAAACGCAACCTAGTTAACTGGAGATCCCAAGATCTAGGTTCAAAGGAACAACCTAATTGTAAAGGTTTAATAAAATCACTGCGGGGGTGTTTCCTACCTTCCATTCCTATGATGTAATAGTGATGTCCATAAGGATGAATGATAAGTAATAGACTTTTAATGATTCTTATGCGTCGAAGTTTGAGCCAAGTAATACGGATTACTTGTAATAAAAAATCGCTTATGTGAGAGAGAAGTGGGGCCGCTTCTAAGAGAATTGTGTGGGGCTCAATTCTTAATAACTCTCACATAACCAGGCATATGTTCATGGCCAAAACGAACATAATAATGAGAACTGAGTTGTGTTAGAAAGGATCCTGTGTGGAGTATATCATCATTTACATAAACAGCAGAACAGTTCAAGGACAACACGTCTACTGGTCAGCTAGTAAAGTAAATATATTTTAACAAGGAAAGGTTCAAAGGGATTACCTACCTATCCTATGCAGGTTTCAATCGTTGAACTTTATCACCTAGTCTTGTGTTTCACGGTCACCAAGTCTTGTGTCTCACGGTCTCGTGTCTCTCCCAATTTTTATTCATGTGGGGGACTGTTGAAAAAATGAGTGAATTGGCTCACTTTGGCAAAATTTTCGGTAGGACCCGTTGGTCCAATTTGGAAGATCAAAGTTGATCCTTGTTCTCCTCCATGAGAGCATCGAAACCACATATTTATTTGCCAAAATTGACGAATGGATGAATGAGAAGTTGGAGCTCAAAGATGACCATTGGAAGATAGTTTATGTGGGAAAATGAGTCTAGTCCCACATAGGAAAATGATAAAAGTATTAACCACTTTATATAGGATTGCACATTGGAATTGTGTAATCATGTGTAGCATAGAGGTTCTCTCCACGTGCGCGCGCAGGGGTGCAAATCGCAGACCGAAATTACCTTCGGACCTTGAACTTGTGTGCAGGGCGCGACCTGCATACATGAATGTCGAACCGAACGGAGAAAAAAATTGGCCCGTTTGGAGTGTCCACGTTTTGCAATTTTTTGCTTTCTTCAACTGACCTTTGAGTTTCCTGAAACTGCCAAAAATCCCAGAAACTGAAACAACTTCATTATTTATTGTTATGGAGTTAATATGCAGATTTAAACTTCTATAAATTGCCATTTTCTAGCTGTTCCAGGACAAAAAAAACCACGAAAATAGGAAGAAAGCATTCTGCATATTTTCTTCCTGTCTGCATCTCGGTCTCTGTCCAGTATAATTTTGTGGTGATATTGTTCGAACACAAACTCAATTTACCGGAGTAGTTTCTGTGGTGCTCAAACTCTGCTGGTTTTGCCGTTATATCCTAGGAAACAGACGCTCGGGCTAGACCTCATGCACTTACGGTGAAGGAGAGAATCTGTTTTAAGGAAACTGTGTTTATACAGGCCTCGAGTTAAAAGTTTACTTCCAAATTTGCTGTGCTTTAATTATTTGTAGAATTATAAGCCTTACAGATTTATTTTAGCATGCTTTCAGATTTTATTTAGCTTTCTGAAAGTTATATTGCTTTTATGTTTTGCAAATTATATAATTTACTATTCTTATTCAAGTAGTTTAAATTGTTTTAATCAAATGATATTTTGTATATACAAACCGGGATATGAAATCGTATCTGTGAAAATTCAAGTTCTGTGTTATTTAAATTATTTTATGAAAACAAACAGTTTGCCCCAAATCTGTGTTGTTTAAATTATCATAAAGTGTGAAAATTCTGTTGTTACGTCGCTGGCATATACGGTGAGCTAACTAGTATATACGGTAAATTGACAAATACGGTGAGTTGAACTGCCAAATACGGTGAGTTGCAAATACGGTGAGTTACACTGCCATATACGGTAAGTAATTGTCAAATACGGTAAGCGTGAATTCGGTGTCTAAAACATAAATACGGTATATAAGAACCCGATTCCACTTTATATACTACCGATTAAATTTTCCAACACTATATTCATATATGCTTCACAAATTTTATAAGACAACTACTACAAATTCCGACTCCAAAGCGAGGAATGGTGACATTCTTTACTTTTTTTTTTACAAGGTGTCCAATTCTTGACTAATCCTTGGGTTTGTGATCCGGCCCCTCTTCACACAGTCCAATTAATCACGGGATGTGCCTCCAACTAGCCAAGGTCCGAGCCCTCCCCAACTTGATCTGCCAAAGTGCCAGCAAACCAATCCAAGTTGCACCTTACCTTCCAAGAATAATCCTTGCCTTCCAAAATTTCTTTTGCCTTCCAAGAATAAATCATTGCCTTCCAAGAGCCCCATGAATAGAACTCACGACCTCTGATCTACTAGCATTGAAAGAGCCCGTCCTTTGCCAGTGGAGAAGTGCCCCGGGGGGTTGGTGACATTCTTTACTTTATTCCACAATGGCTTGTCAAAGTAAGATAATGGTCATATTTGGTAGAAATTAAAATCTAAATTTAAATTTAAATTTGAGTGAACAACAAATTTTTTAACTACATTTTACAAAATCCACAATTTTTCAACTAAATATTTTATCGATTTTTATCGAATTCTATTAAGAATCTAATTTATTCTTCGATTTTATACACGTTTAAGTGTACTCGTGACACGAATATTTAAGACTCCCTTGTTTGGTCGCATTAAGCCCCCGTTTGTTTTCCATTTTTTCTTCATTAAAATGAAAAATATGATCGTTATTCATCACATTAAGCCACCAAATTTGAATTTCTATCTCTTGTGTAGGGTCCATAACGACTATATTTTTTATTTTCATTTTTACATTAATTTGTACCAAACGGGACCTAAAATTATAATTCATTTTTCTCTCTCTTCTTATTAACAACGCATTCTCCGGTGAAATAATATTACACGTAATCAACAAACTTTTTCTGAGATGCTCTTGTCCTCTCTAGGTTATCGTGATAGGCTTTCATGACATGATACAGATTGACTGCGTAGAATGTATTATGATAATCTTTATTCTACGAGTCATAGAAATTGATACACATTGGAAAAAGGTCTTCATTTTTCCAATAATGCTTGTGAAATACGAACAAATCACTTAGCATTTCTGATGGATCAATTTGTTCCAAATGGACCGAGTCATCCTCATCTCAGAACTGGTGTAAAGCTGGAGTATGAATAGAAACATGATAAATGTATTTTATATTTTATTTCACGGTACAGACATAATACATTCCAGCACACATAAACAGAGAAAAACTAGAAGATTTTCCATTGCCGTATAAAGTGAAAAAATTATCAAACTAACAGATTGGAAGAGGAGCACCATTCCAGCCCTTGAGGCACTCCAATAATGGATCAATCATCAGTCCCTTGCTCATTGCTGTGAATACCTTGTCGAAAACTTCGCCCGGGGAGGCTACACTCTCTCCAGTCAACAACCCCATTCCCAGCTCTTCTCTGACAAATTTGTATAGTGGATAAGACCGGCACTCCTTAATCTGGTTGGGAATGGCCGGATTTCCACTCTCCAAGGCTACTCTTGAACTCTCAACTTCTTTAGGCAGAAGGGCCTTTATTTCATCTTCAAAAGCTTCAATCTTATGGAAAATGGAAGTGCTAACATTCTTCTCGTTTTCGCTGTTTTTAAGTGCATGCTCAACAAGGACTTGCCTCAGTTTTTGCATCAACGGGTAGGTTGAGCTGCAAGGGTCGTCGATATAAGTAAACACGTATTCACGATCCACCACCCGAAGCAAATCCTTCTCACAGAACCTTGATGGATGAAGTTCGCCATGGGCACCAGTTGTTAGAGTTCGTTTAGCTACTTGACTCACGGTGTTCTTGACAGTGTTTCTAAGGTTCTCCTCCAAGTGTCTCAAATCTATTGCTTGGCATAGCGCCACCAGATATGTAGACAACATGAGTTTCAAGATATCGACTGCTTCAGCTGTCTTTCTAGAAGAGATTAAACCCAAGGAATTAACGTCTTGGTTGTGCTGCTCAGCACTTTGGACATGGTTTGTGACTGGATTTGCTAAAAATTGGAGCTCGGAACAGTACGAAGCCATAGCTATTTCAGCACCTTTGAAGCCGTAGTCCAAACTCGGGTTTCGTCCACCTGAGAGATTTGAAGGCAAGCCATTGTTGTAGAAATCATTGACAAGCTCGGAAAATTGAGCAAACAACAACTTTCCAATTGATGCAATGGCCAATCTAGCATTGTCCATGGAGACTCCAATAGGCGTACCCTGGAAATTACCACCGTGCAATGCCTTGTTCCTCGAAACATCAATCAAGGGGTTATCATTAACCGAGTTGATCTCCCTTTCGATCATCTTTGTCGCTGAACGAATGACCTCTATCTGTGGGCCGAGCCACTGAGGTGATGTTCGAAGAGCATATCGATCCTGTTTTGGCTTCTGCAAGGGATCCATCTCGTGTAGCTTTTGAGCTGCCTTCACATAAGAACTACCATCCAAAATATGTTCCATTATAGCAGCAGCCTCAATCTGCCCAGGATGGTGCTTTAGTTTGTGCGTCAAATGGTCAGTGAATTCAGGCTTCCCATTCATAACTTCAGCAAAAATTGCTGACAGAACTTCGGAAAACACTGTGAGTACATTAGCTTCATAAAGAACAATTGAAGCCAAGCCAGAACCAACAGCCGTTCCATTAACTAGTGCAAGGCCTTCCTTGGGCTGCAACTCAAAAAAATCTCCATCTACACCAGCAAGTTTAAAGGCTTCCTTGGCATTTAGAGTTTCTCCCGTAGGTCCAACAGCCTTAGAATTAGGCCGCCCTGTCAACATACCAGCAATGTAGGACAACGGAACAAGATCACCTGAGGATGAGATCGTGCCACGGAGGGGTAAGCACGGCGTGATGTTGTGGTTAAGAAACTTGGTTATAGCTTCCAAAATTTCAAATCTGATGCCAGAATATCCTTGAAGAAGGGTGTTGATTCTCACGAGCATAGCTGCTCTTGTTGCTGAATGTGGCAGTGTGTGACAAGACTCTATCCCATTCCCGAAAATTCCAGCATTCAAGAACCTGTCATATTCAATCATAATGCCAATAATTAGAATTTCACAATTCAATTTAATAACTGCAGAATCTTATGCAATGTCTGCCAATAAATTCAAACAGACAATTTCTTATTAACATAAAAGAAAAACCAAATTTTCAACTTTCTTAACAAAAATAATAAACTTTCAAACAACCATTAGTTAGCAGAAAGAACAAGATTGTGAACTGGAATTATCAATTTCATGGGTATTTCATGCGAAGATCGGCTTCGAGAAAAAAAAAATATAACAAACATCAAAACTTGCCAGCTGTCCAAGCCGTGCAGCAAAACTACAATGAAAACAAGTGTTCTAAAAAGCATGCGTCCACCGGAGAAGCTTGACCATACATACAGTTTAGCTATGCTTTACACTTAAAATCTAGAACTTTGCTACATACACAGAAGAAATGTACTGATAGCATGACAGGTACGCGGGTGGCAAGCTTTCGTTTGGTCTTGGACAAAAAACAATTTTGTTGTAGCCAATGCACAGTTGCCACCCATGAAGCCAAGTGTCTTAACTGCATTGGCTGTTGGAAAAAATATAGATTTAAATGTCAATCAGCTTATCAAAGATTATGAACATCTCCAAGATTACGGCTATATTATTATTATAATTGCACCAAATATAAATAGATTATTCCCATATTCAGTTATAATTTTGGTTCTATGCAATAAGAGTCAAAGGGCATCCAATCTGATTGAGTATTATTCAGTGTATTTGACATGGTATCGAAGCAGTTTCGATCCTAAACAAATTAGCCTTTCAATTTCGCTTCCAACGAGCTGGGCCAAATTTTTTTTTTTTATATATGTTATAAACCTTTTCACAAAGTCGAACGCCTTGAGGCCCTCATCAGCTACCCTATCGGTAGTTGCAGGCATACCATCAGCGGTGGCTTCAACATGGCGCGTACAGTACTCAATGAATTTAGCCATGATCTTGGAGGTATTATTGGGGAGAGGTATATCAGTGTCGGCACAACGTTCTCGATCATCTGTTCAATGGTCTGCGACTCCAGCGCCACCGTCTCCTCCGCCTCGAAAAGTCGCCGCTTACCCGTGGAATGAAGTAGCCGGAGAAGTGGGATGAAATAGGTACCAAAGAAATTGAAGCAGCAATCGGAGAATTGAGTCTTTGGGTGTGACAGCAAAAAGTGGTAGCTGTGTAGTTTGTTGGCGACTTGGAGCTGTCGACGACGATGCAGTAGTTAATCGGTGGCGACAGGGTAAAATTGGGTGAGATGCGGTTGGTGTTGAAGAGTGTGGTGTAGGCCGTTGCAGTGATGGTTCATGACTGGGAATTGTGTGGCCGACGATTCGTTGTGGGTGGTATCGACGAAAAGGTTGGGGTTCAACCTTCTTTTTCTTTTTCTTTTTTTCAAAACTAAAAAGGGTTAACTTCGGCAGCCCGGACCGGCCATAAACAGGGTTAGGTGACCAAGATATTTCCTTTCTGCTTCACCTACCATATTTCCTATTATGGTCCACGAATTTAAGTAAAATCAATCTCATCAAATATAGATCAAAGCTAAGGAAAGGATAAAAGAATCAAAAAGCAAGAAATTCTGGGATTTGGGAACTCAGATTCCATTTTCATCCAGCTTACCATTTTCGCTTCTTCTTTTTTCTTCCCCCTAAGCTAAAGTAATGAGATTTTATGGTTGTCATATACAGATAAATAGAAAGTTAAAATTGCTACAGAAATTGATTAATAAATTCTGTATACAGCCAATTGTCTAGTGTTCACCTTGATCGTGTTCAACAGTCGCAAAAAAATTACTTTTTTTGGTAAAATAAAAACATAAATTGCAGATAAAAGCGGATTTTAAAGAAAGAAAATGTTGTTTACCTGATAAGTTCCTTCTGAAGGGCACCCCCTTGCTTGGTCCTCCTATGTGAAGTGGCACCAAAACCAGTGGTGACACCATAACTATCGGTCCCTTTATTCATGCTCTCCATAACCCAGTCACTGCTGGCCTTAACGCCGCCTCTCGCCGCCTCCGACAGCTCCACCTTGACGGCATTATCACGGGCTGCAATCGCCGCCACCTGCGATATAGTCAAGGTTTCACCGCCAAGCTTCACCACCGGCTTTCTAAACTCCTCCACCATTCGTTTCACCTCATCCAAATGACTTCCCTTCATAGACTCAGCTGCCATTCCCCAGTTCAATGGATCTTTCACACAAAAATCCATCACCTTACCATTTGATTGCCCATTTTCAAATACACTTTCCATTTTATTATGATTATGAAGAAAAATTTAAAACTTGTCACACACAAGAGCAAGAAGGTTTATGTATATTTGTGGAGTAAGGGTTAGGAAGCTCTTGAAATGTAGTTGGTGAGATTAGAGGCTTTAAATAGAGTAGCATTAACGTGTGGCACAAAGATTTGGTTGGTGGAGGGCACTTAGCCCGTTTGCCCCCATTTTTTGGTAATGGAAATGGAAATGGATGAAATAATATTTTTTTTTAAAAATTAGTGGTTAAAAAGGAATGAAATGCTTTCGATTTACGTTAATATTATTTTATAAAAGATTATATAATTAAAAATATAAGAGAGAAATTAGAATGCAATGAAATGTAATTTAACTGATGGTGTCAAACGAGAGCTTAAAGGGGGAAATGGTGGCGGCAGGACACATAGGGGTTGGTTGAAGAATAATCCTGGCCGTCGATTCGGATGTCTAATTAACGGTTTGGATTAGCAAACCTGGATATAACATTATACAAATATTTTCTATTTTGCACTGGTCATAAGAGAGGGTGTGGTTGGTGGGATGGAGAAAGAAAAAAAAATTAATTAATACTTCACTAAATTAACAAGTTTTGATTTTAAGTTTTTAACCACTGAAATCTAACCATACTGTTGACAATTAAGAAGTATAATGTAGCTCTCGTTTGGTAAATCTTTTTTTTTTTTTTTCACATACATTACAATGAATACACCGAATATTATTCAATTTTTAACTATAAATTTATTAGAACCCTCCAAAAATTGTATCAAATATGCTTGTAGTTATATATAGTATATAATTAAATAAAAATTAATGAAGTATTCCCTTTCTACTCAAAAAATAAAATAAAATAATCATTCAAGCAATTCGGTCACAAAAATTTAAAAACTAAAAAACCCAAACATGTTGCTTGCGAAACGAATCATCAAGAGCTTAGGTCGAACAAGAACTATCTAACTCAATTTATGCCTCTACTAAGGAGTGGCCTACTTGACAAATTAGGATAATGTTTTATATAATCTAAAATAAATTAAGTTGGTATATCATGCGTTCCTTAGAATAGCTATTTTAATATTTGTCACAAACATTTTCGTTGTTGTAAAATGGGCAAATTTTTCCACTAAGAAAAGGCACTCAATCTCATATATTTGAAATTTTGTGTACAATTGTCAATTCTATTTAAGATCTTGAGTGATGCAAATTTGTATCATAAACGGTACTTCATATATAGTATGTTAAACATAAATTCGATGCACCGTCTTTTTTTATTCAATGTTATTTTTCTTCCGAACTTTGCTTAGAAACGGACTATATTTGCCACATTAATCAACGAATTCACAAAATTACACTTTGAGGAATAACATAATTAGTAATCAAAAGGTGTTCAACGGATGTCAAGTGTGGAGGCTTCAAAGCAATTTCCATAAAGTTGAATTAAATCTTCAATCATGAATAAGTTGACCACTTTGAGTTGGTCTGACCGAGTCACTCAATAACGAACCCTTGAAGTCTAATTGCATTCAACTAGCTACGGCCGCCAGAACTCACAGTGCGTATGTTCCCTAGTTTCGTTTAGATTACTTTAAACTATTTATTTCACCTAACATGTTCCCTCTTTGTGTCTCACTCAATTATTTCCGGGACATTATTCATTGATAAGTACTTTTTTGTTTTTATCTTTGATCAAGTCACCGTTCATTGAAAAAAAAAAGAAAAAAAAAAGTTGAACTCAAATTTTGAGGACTTCCATCATCTCGTCCTTGGAGCATCGTGAGGAAGGTAAATCGCGGGATGTGTTCCAACAGATCAGGGAACAAGAACTTGCCCGTACACTGGTACCTACAAAAAGTCTAATTCCATATTTCAAAAATTAAACTCTCAGACTACGACTGCCAGCAAGGTTGAAATTACCTCACTCATGTCCTTTACACTACTAAATTGTGCGTCGGAGGAGGGGGGGAACCGTTCATTGAAAAAATAGTGGTGCATAGAGTAAACTACATGGAGAACGAATAGTCTATTTTAACAACTCAAATTTTGTTGGTTAGTCAATTATGAAGTATTACTATTTGTACCTAATTATTTACTAAGTTCACCTTTTCGTCACCTAAAAGGTTAAAAAACTGTGTCAAGTTTTACAAACAAATGAAATTCGACTTAAAACTTAAAACAAGGCAAAGCTATTTAACAAAATAAATAATTGAAAATAAAATATATTTTTCAATAGAATTACATGCAAAATATATTATAATGCCATAAAAATCAGCGCTAGTATGTCAACAAAATCCGAAAAGATGAGATTTCCGTTTCCATTATTTATGTTGGGTAACTTGCAAATGGTGCATGAGTCTCGTGACATGAGAAAAAGGAAAAAGAAGGAAAAAAAAAAAAAGAAAAAAAAGAAGAAAAGTAATTGATTGAAAAACAAGGTCCACATCAATTTGGTAGGTTTCAAAATGTGGTTCACGTTTGTGTTCATATTGAGGCCAACTACTCATATAGACATAACTTTGCAACAGTAATGGAACGTGGGTAATCGACAGCCATTGATCGAGGTGCTTGACTTTTTTTAAGAAAGAAAAAATAATTTATTCATTTTTCACATATCACTACTTTATAAAAAGGGCAATGTCTCGCTACTGTAGATTCTTCCATTTTCACACACTATAGCAACCCTTTTTTTTCCCCCCATCTCTGGAGCAAAAACGACGTCGTCCGCTTTTCTATTTTCACACACTGTAGCAAAACTTATATAAAAAGAGTAATATTTCACTACTATAGAAAGAACATTAGATTATTCCATTTTCACACACTATAACAACTTTTTTTCTGGAGCAAAAACGACATCGTTTGCTCTTCCATTTTATATATATATATATATGCAAGCTACAGTGATGCACCCACTTTTCTTTATGTATGTACACTATTTATGTTTCTATTCTATTTTTTTAACGTATGGACTAATCTGTTTTATGCTTTTTTTCAGTTGTTTGCTTGGCATTCAATGCTATGATTTCGGTGGTTTCGGGCTGCTTTTTTCTAACAAGTTAGTTCATTCTTTTCCCCACTTATAGTTTGTATTATTTTTTCAAGTTGATTTCTGTGGGGCTTCCAATCTGTTATGGACTTTTGTGTTTGTATTCTTCTTTTTGTTGATTTTATATTTTGGGTTTGAATGTTCTTTTCTTTCATGATCCTAAGGCATCCTAAGGTTCAAAAATTCTTTTACGATTTCTGTAAAACTATTTTCCGTCCGTTGTGTCTGATTGAAGTTTGGGCTCTATGAAATTTGTTTGTTGTTAATTTATGAGATGATAAATGACGGTTCGAATGTGTGATATATATATATTTTGTGTTTCAATCGTTGCGCTTATTGTATTTGTTCGATCGTTGACATATGTTTTTTTCCTCTTACTAGATAAAATTACGTTATTTCTATTGGCCTTATTTTAGTTTGCAGGTAGTGGTGGAGAATATTTTCAACTTCTCTTTAGTTCATGGTTGCAGTAATATCTAGAGGTTTTTCCTGCGAGTGTTTATGAGGGGGAAATCTATTTTCATATGATTTGATTTTTCATTTTTCTTGTATAGCGTTGAATTTCGATGCTGATATTGATTTGTTGTACACAAACTCTGGAGTGAACTAGGATTGTTTGTTGTATATTTTGTATAGATTGATTGAGGTCTGGTTGTTCTGAATTTTAGTTCTTATTCTTGTTTTTATTGAAATTGAAATTTGTGGAATTCTGCAACTCAATTTCATTTAACGGAGTTTGTTTTTATATAAATGAATAGAAAAACAAATGTCTTGATGGAACAATGTATCTATTTGCGTAATATGTGCGCAAATTTCTTATGAACATTATATTTCAATTAAGGAGTTTCAATGAAGGAATGGTGTTGTATTGTTCAATTTTAGATATTTGGGAATCATTAAAATCTGAGTGGATTGGGTTGGTAAATAAGAGAGTAAATAGAATTTGGTGTAAAAATAGCAGAATAGATTAACATGCAAATAAAATATTTTCGGTGTATACAAATTCATTTAGAAGAAAGTAAAGAGGTCTCACAGACATGTCAAACTTTCACCAACATGGTCTTTTTTGTAGACAATGAACTTTGGGGGTTCACTGTTCGAAAGTTCGAAAACACGTGTATCGCCCATTTGTAGTTCTTTTTCTTTAAAAAAATCTGACAAATCTATAGTCATACGTCTTATTAGACCATTTGGTCATAAATTTGTGGCGAGCTCCCAGTTGTGATGTAAAGAATCATAGATTTGAACATTTCGCACACCTCTAGGTAGGTGATATCTAGAGAACTGTCCTAGTATATACTGGAAAACCATGAATGAATAAATTATCAATCTTTGGATCAAATTTGTGGAAGAGATGAATGTAGAATGAGATATTAAAAATGACACCTACAATTTCCCGATGGCTGTTGTGATGAGGTGTTAGTGTTATTTCAAATTCAGGGTTATCTGTATGTGAAACGTTGTATTCTTCAGGAACATCGGAGTCATATGTGACCTCTAATCCAGAATGATCAAATA